TGCCGCCACCGCCGGAGCAGTCGTCGGAGCCATCGTCGGAGTTTCATTTTTGACCGGTGACATACGATTTTGTTCGTTTCGGTAAGGTGATCATCGTATTGTTGAGATCACCACTATCGGAGTTAGTCGTCTATTGTCTCTTACGTCATTTAGTCTCGACGAACTTGTTTTGGTCTTCTCGTTTTGGATCTGTGCTTCGTGGGTTGATTGGATTACTTTGGATTTTTTTTAGGGGTTGTTCTCCTGCCCTTCATGACTTCTTCCACTCCTTCTACTACTTCCAATTCTGTTAATTATTCTTCTGTGTTAGCATCTCACCGTGATGACCGGACTCGCCCTCGCAAACAGGGAAAATGGCGTCCTAAGTGTGAACATTGTGGCAAGCTAGGTCACAAGATTAACAAGTGTTATGCATTACATGGTTGCCCTCCTTGATCTGCTGCAGTTGTTCAGACCAATTTTTCCCCACCTTTTTCTGCTGGGAATCCTCCTTCTTCTGTTGCATCCGACACACCTGCTATATTCAACAAATTTCTCAAATGGTATAAGGATCAACAATCTTCTAGTTCCACTACGTTTTTCGCACACACAGATACATATTTTGCTAGTCTGACCCAATCCTCTTCTTCTGGTCCTTAGGTTTTTGATTCAGGAGCCATTGATCATATTACTAGTAACAAATCTTTGTTCTCCTCTTCTAATCTTTTACCTTCTATTACACTAGCTGATGGCTCTAGAGTATCATCTCATAGTGTTGGAACTGTTAAACTTTTCCCTTCTTTAACCATTGATAATGTTCTTTATGTCCCTGAGTCTCCTTTTAACCTATTGTCCATTAGTCGTCTAACTCGTTCTCTTGATTGTGTTGTTTCTTTTACCAACCATTTTGTGTGTTTACATGACCGGAGTTCGAAACAGGTGATTGGCACAGGATATGAGTCTCATGGTCTTTATCATCTCCATCCCTCTACACATGTTGGTGCAGTTATGGAGTCTCCCTCTCTTTTTCATGCTTAGTTAGGTCATCCAAGTCTTGCCAAGTTACAGAAACTTGTCCCTGCCTTGTCTAACTTGTCTAGTTTGGCGTGTGAGTCGTGTCAATTAGGCAAGCATAGTCGTACTTGCTTTCCTCATAGTGTCACACGTGGTGCTTCGTCCTCTTTTGTCGTGGTTCACTCTGACATTTGTGGACCTAGCCACGTTAAGTCTACTTTAGGTTTTCAATACTTTGTTACTTTCATTGATGATTATTCCAGACGCACTTGGTTATTTTTATGAAAAATTGTTCTTAATTATTTCATATCTTTCAAACTTTTTTCAATGAAATTCAAACTCAGTTCAGTGTTTCTATTAGAGTTTTGCGCAGTAATAATGGTCGTGAATATCTTTCTCATTCTTTTAAACAATTCATGGCTTCTCACGGTATCCTGCATCAAACTTCTTGTGCTTATACACCTCAACAAAATGGTGTTGCTGAACGCAAAAATAGACATCTTATTGAAATAACTCGCACTCTTTTAATTCATGGAGAGGCTCCTCAATATTTTTTGGGTGATGCTCTTCTTACTGCATGTTATATCATTAATCGCATGCCTTCTTCGGTTTTAGATAATAAAATACCTCATTTCATTTTATTCCCTCATGAACCTCTTCATTCCTTACCTCTAAGAGTTTTTGAGTCTAAATGTTTTTTCATAATTTAAGTCCTGGTCTTGATAAGCTTTCTCGTAGATCACATAAATATGTTTTCTTAGGGTTTACAAGATCACAAAAAGGATACAAATATTTTTCTCCTTCTCTTAACCGTTATTTTGTGTATGCAGATGTCACCTTTGATGAGTTCTCTCTTTATTTTAAAAGTCAATCTTCATCTCTGTCTCCATCCAATCCTGCCAATACTCCCAGTACATTTAATGTTCCTGTTGTGTGTGACCCTCTAACTATGTCTTCTTCACCATTAGTTCCTATTCCGCAATTAACTTCTTCTCCATCGCCTCTTCAGGTTTATAGTTGCCGAAATCAATCACAACCACCACCATGTGACTCCACTCAAGTGCCAACTACTCTATCTCTTCCGGATCTGTCACTTGAATCTGACCTTTCATTGCCCTGCGAAAAGGTATCTGTTCTACACATAATCTCTCTTCCCATTATATTTCTTTGAGTTATCATCAACTGTCATTACCTTTTTATACATGTCTTTCCTCTATTTCTTCTGTGACCATTCCAAAAACTGTCCGTGAAGCTTTAGCCTATCCTGGTTGGCGTCAGGCCATGTTAGATGAACTAAGTGTTTTTCATAATAGTGGAACTTGGGAATTGGTCTCGTTATCGTCTGAACAATCTGTTGTTGGTTGTAGATGGTTGCTTGCTATCAAAGTTGGACCTGATGGTACTATTGATTGCCTCAAAGCTCGTCTTGTGGTCAAAGGTTATACTCAAAATTTTGGGTTGGATTATGGAGATACCTTTTCCCCCGAGGCGAAAATGACTTCTGTTCGTTTATTTATCGCTATGGCCGCTCTTCAACAATGATCTCTTTATCAACTGGATGTTAAAAATGTTTTTCTCAATGGTGATTTGCAAGAAGAAATCTATATGGAGCAACCTCCTGGGTTTGTTGCTTAGGGGGAGTCTTCTGGGATGGTATGTCGTCTTCACAAATCTCTATATGGTCTAAAACAGTCTCCTAGGGCCTGGTTTGAAAAGTTTAGCAAGGTTGTTCAACAATTTGGTATGACTTGATGTGAAGCAAATCATTCTGTCTTTTATCGACACTCGAATGCTGGATGTGTTTACTTGATAGTATATGTTGATGACATCGTTCTTACAGGTAGTGACAACCATGGTATCTCTCAGTTGAAACAACATCTATGTCACCATTTTCAGACCAAAGATCTTGGCAAACTTAGATATTTCTTGGGTATTGAGGTGGCACAGTCCAATGATGGTATTGTTATATCTCAAAAGAAGTATGCCATGAATATTTTGGAAGAAACTGGGTTGATGAGTTCAAAGTATGTTGATACACCCATGAATCCTAATACTAAACTTCTACCAAATCAGAGAGAGCCTATATATGATCCTGAGCAGTATAGAAGATTAGTTGGAAAATTGAATTATCTTACAGTTACTCGTCCTGACATTTTCTTTACAGTTAGTGTGGTAAGCCAATTTTTTAATTCTCCATGTGAAGATCATTGGAATGCAGTCATTCGTATCTTGAAGTATATTAAAGGATCTCCTGGAAAAGGATTATTATATGGTTTTAATAATCATACAAGAGTTGTTTGTTACTTAGATGCTGATTGGGCAAGATCTCCTTCAGATAGAAGATCTACATCTGGATATTGTGTCTCTATTGGTGGTAACTTGATTTTGTGGAAAAGTAAGAAACAGAGTGTTGTTGCAAGATCTAGTGCAGAAGCAGAATATAGAGTTATGGCCTCAGCTTCCTGTGAACTGGTTTGGCTCAAGCAATTGCTTGGAGAGTTACAATTTGGAGATGTCACTCAAATGACACTTGTGTGTGACAATCAGACTGTTTTTCATATTAGTTCTAATCCTGTCTTTCATGAGAGGATCAAACACATTGAGATTGACTATCATTTCATTCGAGAAAATATTATATCTAGAGACATCAAGATTGAGTTTGTTAACTTAAGTGATCAGTTAACAGATATTTTTACTAAGTCTTTACGGGGGCCTAGAATTGATTATATTTGTAACAAGTTTGACACATACGATTTGTATGCTCCAGCTTGAGGGGGAGTGTTAGATATTGTTTAGATATTGTTAAAATATTTTTAACCACAATATCAAACAATATCTTTTGTTTATTTTGTTTACTTTCGGTTACTCTTTTAGTTGTATCTCTCTCTATTATAAATAGATTACCCTATGTGTGGTTTATACACAAGAGAGATTACCTCAAACCATATTTTCTCTATATTCAACAGAGACAATGGATGACCAACTCCAATAGTGGTGATCTCAACTGTACGGTGGTCGTCTGACCGAGACAAGCAAACCGTATGTCGCTGGTAAAAAATGAAACTTTGGCAATGACTCTGGCGATGGCTCCGGCAAAGGATTTGGTAACGACAACGACTCCAGCAGTGGCGGTGGCTTCGGTAGTCACGGCGGTGGTGGCAGTGGACAAAGGCAAAAAAATATGAAAATAACCTTAAGCTCTAGATACCATGTTGAATATAGAGAAAATAGGATTTAAGATTAATCTCCCTTGTATATAAACAACACATAGGATAATCTATTTATAATAGAGAGAGGTACAACTAAAAAGAGTAACTAAAAAATAATTAGAGTAAATAAAAGATATTATTTGATATTGTGATTAATAATATCTAACAATATCTTAACAATATCTAACATATATTAAATAAACCTATAATTTACTATTTGACACAAAAATGAAAGGACACAATGAAAAAATTGATTGTATACAGAGAAATAAGAAGATAAATAAAATGAGTTCCATTAGAATTCAAAAATGATAACTTTGGCTCTCTATAAATCATTTTGACACTAAGTCAATAATAAAGGATGGTAATGATATCATTTTCTACTATATTAGTGACATACAACAAGGACAATAACTCCTGCTTTGTATCAGCCCGTTTTGCTCATTGTACAAGTACAACATTTCAATCAAATGTTCCAAAACATTTTGAATGGTGGTCCTTATTGGTATCAAATCATCCATAACCAACCATAAGTTGAATCATTGTAACGGAGTTTTTCAAATAAAGTTAAATTCCTTCACAAGGTAAAATGAACCTTTGCATCGTCCAACTTCAAATCCAACAGACTGTTGTGTGAAAGGAGTGATCTTGATATAAAATCGATACTGGGCTTGCACCAATATTGGGCAAACAAGCTTAGATTTTCAGAGGGTTTCTTGCCCAAAAATATTTAAGTTGATCAATGGCCACACACCTTTTAAAAAATAAGATCATAAAAAGTAGGTTGCCTCTGAAATGTTATCCAGTATTGCTGCTATGAAGATAATTGAAGGGTATAATAGAGTTAATAGTAGCTGTTATATGCTCTACAGTTGCATAAATAACATCAGAATAAGGATGAGTTTTATCTTCTACGGAGAACAGATGAATATTGTTGTTCAATTCTATCCAGCTGCACCCTGGATCTTTTCTTAATTCCAAACTCTGCAATCTTTTCCTAAGTTTTATCTTCTGTCCCCATCTACCTAGTATGGCATACATGTTGGACAGAACAACCAAAGCAAAAATTGGGTTGGGATCCAAACTGAACAACTTCTCAGCAGCTCTCTCCCCAACTTCCATATCCTTCCAGAACCAAGACGCATTAAGCAAAGCTCCCCAAATTATCGCATCTGCTTCAATAGGCATTTTTATGATAACCTCTTCAGCTTCTTTTATGTGGCCTGACCGACCCAGGAGATCCACCACACATGTGTAATGTTCTATTGTCGGGGTTACCCCATAGTATCTTTGCATTGAGTGGAAAATTCTCAAACCTTCACCAACTAGACCGGCATGGTTACAAGCAGAGAGAACACCAACAAAAGTAGCTGCATTTGGAACAACTCCTTGATGTAACATTGAGCGAAAGAGTAAAACTGCCTCAGATCCCAGTCCATGATATGCATAACCATTTATAAGAGCTGTCCATGCTGCTACATTGGGTGAAAAAATGCTGATGAATGAACTTTGAGCATCAGCCAAGTGACCACATTTGGAATAGAAGTCTACAAGAGCAGTCCCAACAAAAACATTTACTTGGAATGGCGTTTTGATTAAGTGAGCATGAAGCAACTGTCCTTGTCGAAAAGAACAAAGACACGAGCAAGCCCGGAATAGGACAGAGAATGTTGATCTGCTATAGTCAATTGATAATCTGCGCATAGCCACATATAAATTCAATGCATTCTTGTGCTGACCATTGATAATATAACCCGACATCATTGAGTTCCATGTTACATAGTTTCTTTCACCTTTAGTTTTCTCAAAAAGTTTCACAGCTTCATCAAGTTCACCATTTTTGGAATACACAGAAATCATAGTATTTAAAGATGTTAAATTCTTGGGACTCATTTTCTCAAATAACCTTTTTGATTTTAAGAACTGACCACTCATAGCATAACCTTTAATCATCAAATTAAATGAAACAGGATTTGTATCTCTCAATTCATAAAAGACAAATTCAGCTTCTTGAATCCTTCCTTTTGAGATAAGGCCTCCAATCAGTGAGTTAGCAACATTCAAACAAGCTTCTCCCCCCATGCTCTCATAAACTCTCTTGGCATCGTCAATAGCTTCACAATCACAATAAAACTCAGTAAGCGCTCCACCAATTGAGTTATCAAAATCAAACCCACCCTTAATGCAAAGCCCATGAACAACCTTCCCTACACATAGAACCCCAAGTCTGGCACAAACCCTCACAACACAATCTAAAGTGAACTCATTAGGCACCACCGCAGAACTCCTCATACACCTAAACAAATCCAAAGCCCTCTCACACCCACCTTCCCTCTTAGCATACCCTGAGATCAATGTAGTCCAAGCCACAACATCCCGAGCCGGCATTTTATCAAACATGTTCATAGCATCATCCATCATGTCACGCTGCACATAACCCGCAAGCATCAAACTCCACAACACTTGGTTCCCATCACGCAGCTCCTCGAAAACCACCTCAGATTCCCTGATTCCACAGCAGTGCAGACAAAAATAAAGCAAAGCACTCCCTACAAGGCCAAACCTCTCATAACCGGATTTCAAAAGCAAGGAATGCATCTGTTTTCCAAGAAGCAAGGACCCAGAACGCGCACACACGCTCAACACCGCAGAGAAAGAAACCTCATTGAGCGTGACATGGGAGCGGTGCATGAGGTAAACAAGGGTCAAAGCCTCAGGGTACCTCCCCCACTGGGAGTAGCCAGAAATCATGGTGTTCCACGACGAAACTGTTCGATGCGGCATCTGATCGAACAGGTGGCGGGCTTCTTCGAGATTGCCCATTTTGAACTGTTGAGCGATGGAAATGTTGTTGGAAATCAAGTAACCGACACGGGGCTCCGAAGCCTGCAACTGTGTCGTGAAAAGTCGGAATCTTTCTTTCCGTTTCCAACGGCTGCGCTTCCAGGTGGCCACAAAGTAGACACGGATAAACATAGTCGTTGTATGGAAGTGAAAAAGTAAACATAGGCACTCACTCATTTTATTACGATGAATATCAGTGTCTGAAATACCCAAATTCTGGTTAAGTTAAAAAAAAAAAAAAAGTAATTTTCATGCCGAGTATAAAATCTTAATTAAGTATTTATAGAATAATTATAATAAATATTTATATTTAATTTAATTTAAAATTATTTTATTTTTATATATTATTAATTTTTTATTAAATTTTCAATTAACCATCATAAAAATTATTAATTTTATTTTTAATTACTATATTCGTATATAAATTTAACCATTATCCAAAAATTTATAAAAAGCTCATTTACAACTTAAAATTTACCGAGAAAAATTAATAATTTAATGACTTTTATAATATACATCTATAATTATTTTATGTAATTAAAATTATATATATAACATAAAATTGGTTTTTTTAAAACCATAATTAAAATCATAAAATTAATTATTTTTCTTGAAAATAACAATTAAATTTTTAACGAAATAATTAATATTATATAAAAATTAATAGAAAATATTTTAATTATATTAAATATAAATATTTATCATTTTTATTATATTAAAACTATATTTTACTCTAATTATAATATTAAATAAGATTATTAATGTCTTAGATATACAATTAAGATTATTGTAAAGGCAACTTATCAAACAGATAATTAATTACCGTTTGTCATTGTTATTGCTGATATAGTTATCAATTTTATCTTATCTTATGTATAAACATTCAAGTGAATTAATAAAAAGTCATTTCATTCTTTTTCTTCATGAATACAAATCCTAAACCAAAAATTTATGTTTCTTATAAGGAAGGAAGTTATGAAAGTTTAATATTGATGGAAGTTTTCATAGACGCTGGTAGTAAAGGGGTATCATGAAAGAGAGGGATTTGAGTTTTAAAAAAAATATTTAGTCCAATGATTAATTCAATAATAATTAGAACAATTTCTCAATGATGGTTAATTCATCAAGTAAAATGTCTTTTTACATGAAAATCTTAAAAAAAAAATGTATGTATAACTCAACTACTAGGCTTTTGTTTCATCGAACAAACACAATGTAAACCGCTCAAAGCTCTTCATGGCTAGAGTCAAGTCCTTAGGTCTTGGTTTCACAAACTCAATATGACTTTGAGGTCCTTGGGATTTAATTAAGCAAAGTGTGATACTTCTCTGTTCATGAGATTTACATCTACCTTTAAAACCTATGTGCTAGTGTATGTTGTTGATATTATTATTACTATCTCATCTTCTTCTGAAATTATCTCTCTTATTGCTCATCTTAACTACAAGTTTTCTTAGAAGGACATAAGTCCTCTTCATTCTTTTCTTGACATTGAGGTTCATCATCATTTTAATGGTGGTATTCTATGTCTCAATCAAAATACATCTACTTCATAAAATCAATCTATTAAATTCTAAATCTTAGTTAACTCCCATGGTTTCTAGTTTAAAGCTTATTGTTGATAAGTCTTCTTCTGTTCAAGATCTCATTCACTATAGAAGCATTGTAGGAGCTCTTCAATACACAACTGTGACAAGGTCTGAAATTTCATTCTCTGTCAATAAGGTTTGTCAATATATGCATGGGACCACAAAAGCATTGTAAAATAGATTTTAAGATATCTCCAAGGTTCAATTATATAAGCTAGCATATAAAACCTTCACAGCAGCTTAATATCATGGGTTTTTATGACTCAAATTGGGATTCAGATGATTATAGAAAGTTTACCACAGGTTAAATCTTGTTTCACGGCCTTCTAGGAAGCAAGTTGTTGTTTCTCAAAGTAGTACTGAGACTGAGTATAGAGGATTGACGACTACCACTAATTTTTATGGCTACAAAATTTACTTAGAGAATTACATGTGTCTAGTTGCATTGTTATGAATTTTTTGTAATAATTTAGGTGTTATTCAATGTGTTGTGAATCCTGTCATACATTTTGCACAAAACATTTTGAGTTGGACTTACATTTTATTTGTCATAAAATCTTATCAAGAGATATTATTATTATTCATTACCGACTGAATTTCAAGTTAATGATATTCTCATTAAAATTGTTTCAAAATCTCAATCTACAATATTAACATCCAAACTCAAAATCTTATTAATTTCCATTATGAGTTTAGAGAAGAATAAAAAGAGAAATTATAAGACACTTAATTCGTACTAATTATTAATAATATTATTGACATAATCTATCAATTTTATCTCCTATGATATCATAGTGAAAATTAATTCTTTTTTTTTCTTGATCACAAATCCTAATAACTATGTTTAAAAAATATTAAATTTTAAAAAGTTATTATTAAATATTAAATTAAAATTAAAAAAATATTAAAATTCCGTATTTTTGAATTTAAATAACAAAAATAGATTTTTAAAAAAATGATGAGATAAAAATATATTCATTTTATAATCTACTTATGTGAGTTATTATAAATCTTTTAGTTATGTTTAATTATAGAGGTTTTTTTTTTGTCTGCATTTTCATAACTCCGTTTTTTTCTTAAGATTGTGGCGTTTGCTGAAATCTCATTTTGCCGAAACATAATGATTACTAACACAAACACTTCAGAGATACACGTCTTAAAAAACTAACTAAAACCAAACATATTTATAAATTATAATCGGTACCCACACCACATCACACCATGATACTTTTGAAATTGAAAAACTTAATTGATCATAAAAAAAATATAAGATAAAAAGTTCATTGAGCCTGTTTATTTTCAGAATGATGAAAGTTTTTATTCAACTCAATCCAACAGAGAAATATTATCAGAAGAGTTAGGATATATAATGATTTTAACATTGAAAGTGTTGTGAAAGGTTCTATCAACTCAATCCAATTAGAGACATTTTATTTCCCTTTTAACTTTTCACTTTACAACCAATATTCAAGCTCATTTGATCATTGATTTAACTCAAATTCCTTATAATTGAAAATCATACATGAAAATTCATCAAACCAACAAAAGCTTGATAAAACTCAAATTCCTAGTAAACTGAAAATTATATATGAAAATTCATCCCATCAACAACACTTAGTAAAAGTCCTAGTATGAAAAAGAAAAAGATCACAGTAATGCATCCATTTCATTGACACTGATGAAAAATTATACTGTCTTTCTTCCTATATATAGAACATCAATCATCCAAAGTAATTACATTAGTAGAGAAATACCAAAATTTACAACTATTCCATTCACATTAGGGCAGTATCCAATATGTATGCATGATAATATGATCAATCAATCTGTCTCATGGTCAGGGGCAGGCGAATACCATGCAGGGTGTCTCCCCATGGTTCTGAGAAGCTTAGTGTATGATGAATCAGGCATTCTTGCTTGCTCCTCTTCTCTCAGTTCATCGTCAGATTTTGGTAATCCATCAGGGATGGGACACAGTCTCTCACCTTCTTCTGGTTTCACATTCTTCCTCAACTCCATGCCATCTTTCTTTACTTTCTGCATGCTTGCAATCCCATGCAAACATCCTATTAAGGATTTCACACCACCAGTCTCCAGAATCAACCTCTCTACATCTGCTTTTGGGGACTCTCTCTGCATTATTAAGGGTAAGAACAGAGTTATTATTGAATTGAAGCTCCAAACACAACAATGAATGTCATTGATAGTTGATGCTGTTTCAAAAATGAACACAGTTTGGGAATTTAAAGGAGTTAAGTGTCTCAAATAAAATATATCATAACAAAAAATAAAAACTTGGAAGAATTAAAACAGAAATTTTACTATTTAATGTAATGTTCGTTTTTAAAATATTTAATAAGTATACTAAATCTACCTTACTTAGTTGCTTACTTGGACAAGAAAAGAGTTAATTTACAGAGCAGCATGCTTCCATTTCTAAGGCTACAATTCAGAGCTTCGCTTCAACAATCAAAAGAGGGGGAAATTTTGAAAACTGAATTAAAAGCTATAAAACTTGAATCTTTTTATTATTATCTATAGAAATTAATTTTTCAGGTTTCTTTCTATTTTTTCAACTTAATCAAACTAAATAAATTATTATCATAATTGTTTCTTTTATATTTTCATTCTATCCAAATATAACATTAATATTCTACATGGGAAGGGAAGGGAAGGGAAGGGAAGGGAAGGGAAGAGGTTAATTTAAAAGTGAAATAAATCTATTAAAAACACTTTGTTTCAGATAAATAAAAGCTATCACACAACAAAACACAATAAAAAGGGGCCATATCTTTCTCTAATTGCACCATAGTTCACAAAACAAATAAGGAAACAAGATCAATAACACAACAAGGTATAGAAAAAAGCACATACTTCAAGATCTTTAAGCTCAAAATAAGCCTGCCAGCAACTGTAGGATTCTTCACCTTCAAGCGTTAAACAATAATCTGCAAAATACAAAACATACCACAAACAATGAATTCACATGATTCAATAACAGATCATGATGGAAACCAAACCATATTCAGTTTAAAGCAAAAGGAAAACAAAAATCAAAAGGAGTTGATAAACCAGAAGAAAAAATAAAATTAAACTGATACCCCAAATCAAAATACCCAAAAGGGCTATCGTGATTCATAAAAAGATGTGAAATTTAAAAAGAAAAAAAAAATAACGAACCTGAGAGCTCATTCTCGGATTTTTCGATCAGAGGAGGGTCTTTAATGGCCCTTTCAAACTTGGTTCGGCTAAAAGGTTCGAGCTTGGGGATGTAGGGCTGGCTCCTCGATGAAGAACAGACAACAAAGGAAGCGTGTCTGGTTGAGGAGATTTGGTTGCTCTGAGCGTCAAGAAACAGAGGAGTACAACGTGGACGAAGTAGAGTTGCCTTCATCGTCGAAATGGAGGATTCTAATGATTAAAAGCGTGTGTTCTTCTGCAACAAAGAGGAGAACGAGAACAGAGAAAGAATAAAGGAGAGTGTTTCTTAATGATAAGGCAATTGGAGAATGATCCAAGGCACAAGAAGATATCATTAAATAGGAAGTTTCGCCACTTGGATAAGGATGATGTTGTTTTATATTTTTTTATTTATTTATTCATTCATTATTATTATATTTTTTGTTTAGTTCTAGTATTATATCCGAAAAAACTAATTGAGAAGATTAATAAATTATTTTATTTATCAAGAAAATAAAAATGACGTAATTAATACTTTGACGTGTGAATAAGTGATAATGGTATAGAGATATTAAATAAAGTAAAGTATTATTTTAAATTAAATAATTATTTTAATGATTTTTTATAGTGAAGAAATTATAAAATTAGTTTTAGGAAATTAATAAATAAATAATTTTTTAGAATTATAATATTTGTTAATAAAATTTTAAATTTTTTTAAGAAAATCTTTACCTCTCTTTATCTTATATTATTTTAAGAGTTTAAATCAAAATAATTATATATATATATATATATATATATATATATATTAACTTAATAAAATAACCTTTTTTAAATAAAATCGTAATAATTCAAAAGTGATAATTAATTATAATAATATATGAGATCAGTGTTATCCACCTCGATTATAAACGGTGTCTAAAACTTATTAAAAATAATACTAAAATTATAATATTTAAATTTTTAATATTTAGATTGATCATTTAAATTTATAATAGGGTGATCTTAATTATATTTTATTTCAAAATATATTAATAAAAAATTAATTGAATATTACTTATTAAAAATAGTACTAAAATTATAATATTTAAATTTTTAATATTTAGATTGATCATTTAAATTTATAATAGGGTGATCTTAATTATATTTTATTTCAAAATATATTAATAAAAAATTAATTGAATATTAAATAAAAATTATAGATTTAATAAAGAAATAAGAAATAATAATAAAAGAAAAAGATAATTTAATGATAGAAGATAATTGTGATTGATTAATGGTTATAAAGTGGAGCTTGGTGCACTTTTCTTTTTCCGCTAATCCTACGTGGTTGAATTGACTAGAGCCAAGTGGCTCTTGTTAGTTTGTTTTGTATCAAAAATAATGGTAGAGGAAGACGACTAATTCAGTGTGCGGAAATACGACCAATTTTTGTCCAATCCTTTGGCGGCTAGATATTTTACCGTTGGTTTAGATATTTTCTTGTTTTGTTTGCCATTTTTCTTCCTTTAATTAATATATTTTTTCTTTTAATTCATACTTTGCTTTTCAACTTTTTTGTTGCTGTAAAACTTTTTAATGGTGCATTAGTTTGCTACTCAATTCCCATAGCAAGGTTTATTTAAGAAATTCATATAATAGAAAAAAAATATGATAAAATAAGAAAGTGTTAACACAAACAACTAAAATAAAAAACTAAGAAAAACATTGATAATAGACAAAAAAGTAATTTCACTAATAAAAGAAATTACAATCATTCTCTCTACCTCTAAAGAGAACCATTCTCTCTACCTCCAAAGAGAAAATAATAATATCTTCTCCTGAAAATAAAGAAAAAACAATTCTAAGAGAACCTAAAATGAGAAATTATTTTTCTCTCTTAATTTATCTCTCAAATACTAAAACAACAAGAGAAAGAAAAGAAAGTAATTTTAGTGTGTTTTATAAGGTAAACACTGTGCTCCTTTTACAGTAAGAAAAGTAAACACCAAACTAAGATTTCCCTAATGTGGGACTTTTCTTTTCATAATCTCCTACTTGAAAATTTTGATTAAATTAATCAAATATTCACACCATGCTTGCTTTATTCTTGTCATCCATGTTGTTTATTTTTCCGATAGGCCATAGTAAGATTGACTCAATACAAACTTGTCAACACTAACCGGTTTTGTCATAATATCTGCTAAGTTCTCATCTGTGTGAATCTTTTGCATATCCACACTTCCTTCTTTCACAACTTTTCGAATAAAATGATATCTTATTCCTATGTGTTTTGTCCTGGAATGAAAGGTTGAATTCCTTGCAATGTGCAAGACACTCTAGCTGTCACAATACACAACAATTTGTTGTTACTTGTGCCTGAATTCCTTCATTATCTTCCTAATCCAAATAGCTTCCTTATATGCCTGGGTGGTTGCCATGTACTCAGCTTCTGTGGTAGATAGAACTACAACATCTTATAACCTGGATAACCAACTTACTGCCCATCGTGCAATTGTAAACACATAACTAGTAGTAGATCTCCTTTTATCCAGATCACCTACAAAATCTGAATCAACATAGCTTCTGATAACTAGTTCTGATCCTCCATAAGATAATGCAACACCTGAGGTTCCTTTGATGTATCTAAGTGTTAGATATTGTTTGATATTGTTAAGATATTGTTAGATATTGTTAACCACAATATCTTCTGTTTATTCCGTTTACTTTCGATTACTCTTTTAGTTGTACATCTTTCTATTATAAATAGATTACCCTATGTGTGGTTTATACACAAAGGAGATTAATCTCAAACCCTATTTCCTCTATATTCAACATGGTATCTAGAGCTTAAGGTTTTTTTGAAATTTTTTCACCTTTGTCCACTGTTGCAGCCGCCACCGCCACCGCTGCCGGTCAAACTGATCTTCCACATAAGAAAAGAGTTATTTTTGCTACTGGATATTATTTGGTAGTGTGAAAGTGCATGTCTAGGAATGTTTTGACAAGGAAATACTTGGTATTTAAGTGTGTCCATTAGTGACCCACCTCTCTTTCCTGGGAACTTACCTGGTGTACTGGTTCACACCGTTGTCGTCATCTTTGCCGCTGTCGCCGGAGTTTCATTTTTTACCGGTAATATACAGTTTTACTCGTCTTGGTCAGGCGACCATCGTACCATTGAGATCACCACTATTGAAGTTGGTTGTCCATTGTCTTCTGTGTCGTTTAGTCTCGACAAACTTGTTTTGGTCTTCTCGTTTTGGATTTGTGCTTCGTGGGTTGATTAGATTACTTTGGATTTTTTTTAGGGTTTGTTCTCCCGCTCTTCATGACTTCTTCCACTCCTTCTACTACTTCCAATTCTATTAATGATTCTTCTGCGTTGGCATCTCACCATGATGACCGGACTCGCCCTCGCAAACAGGAAAAATGACGTCCTAAGTGTGAATATTATGGCAAGCTAGGTCACAAGATTAACAAGTGTTATGCATTACATGGTCATCCTCCTCGATTTGTTATAGTTGTTCAGACCGATCTTTCCCCACCTTTGTCTATTGGGGATCCTCCTTCTTCTATTGCATCAGACATATCTATTATGTTCAACAAATTTCTCAAATGGTATAAGGATCAATAGTCTTCTAGTTCCACTACATCTATTGCACACACAAGTACATATTTTGCTGGTCTAACCCAATCCTCTTCTCCTGGTCCTTGGATTTTTTATTCAGGAGCCACTAATCATATTACTGGTAACAAATCTTTGTTCTCCTCTTTATCCTTTCCTAATCCTTTACTTTCTGTTACATTGGCTGATGACTCTAGAGTATCATCTCATGGTGTTGGAACGGTTAAACTTTTCCCTTCTTTAACCATTGATAATGTTCTTTATGTCCCTGAGTCTCCTTTTAACCTGTTGTCCATCAGTCGTCTAACTCATTTTCTTGATTATGTTATTTCTTTTACTTGTTAGAATCGCGCAGCGGAATGTTCACGTGGTTGGACAAAAACCAAGAGGGGGGGTGAATTGGTTTCTTAATAAAAATTAGGTTTTCAAAATTTTCCCCAAATTTTACCGATTAAAAACTGTGTAAATGTAAATAGAGAAGAGAATCTTACACAGGAAATTTATACTGGTTCGGATCAAAAGACCCTACGTCCAGTTGCTAATCACTCAAACAGAGGATTAACGCTGTCACTATAATCAAGTTGTTACAAACAGATTACAATTGAAAAGATAAAGATAAGAAAACATCTCTCTTGAAATCCACAAGAGATGATGAACAACTTTCCCTAGAGACGACACAACACACAATCCACTAAGAACTCCACTTAGTGATTCTTATCGCTTCTAGCCCATACCAGGTTCCAAAAGCCCCTTTTTCTTGCAACAAACAGTTCTCTGGCACTACAACACTTAACTTTTGTATGAAAAAGGTTGTTCTTCTTTTCTGAGTGCCATAGAGAAGCTTAAGTAGAGAAATTAGGGTTTGGGAATTTCGAATTAGGGTTCTTGGGAAAAGGGTTTTCGAAAATAGGGTTGATTTGAAGTTAAAATTCGAAATCGATCGAAATAATCGATTAAATCCGAGTTAATCGATTATTACAGAGCCAAAATCAACAGAACCCTGAAACTCTCTGTTTTAATCGATTAAAAGGGTTGTTAATCGATTAAATCGCCTGTTAATCGATTAACAGGTGGTTTAATCGATTAAACCAGTGAGCAGATACAGAAAATGGTTTTTCTCACTGTTTTAATCGATTATTTCCCTATTTAATCGATTAAAGCCGAGCCTGGATGATAAATTTGAGCTTTTTGAAGCTTCTAAGGTGCAGAATATGTACCGGCTATCTTAAACACTAATATTACATACTCAATCTAATTGAAACAGAGTTATTACAATACAAAACAAGTCTACAACACTCTAAGTCTTTGAGTTCTTGAATCATCATCAAAATCAACAATCTTCATGTCCATCAAGTGCAACATCAAGTCCTTGAATGTTCAACAATCTCCCCCTTTTTGATGATGATCAAAATTATCTTTTAAAGCCTTGTAATAACCTGTTTTATCTGTCATACTAACAAACACATTAAACATACCAGATAATATTTTAAAACAATAACATTAGGCTTTAAATATTTCTCCCCCTATTTTGATTAGAATCAAAAAATAATTCTTCTATGACAAACATAAGAGCTCCCCCTCAAAATATGCATAACTTAGAGAAAACT